TGGTTTCGTAAATAAGCACTTAGCCCAAGTAAGTGCAGAGTTGAACTAGAGCAGAAATTAACAGAATATTTTCCGTTTCATTCCTGCCATGTTGCTTGGAAGATAGTTCTGAATTTTAAAAAAACCTTAATATATTTCGCTGAAATGCTTGGCTGTTTAATATTACTATTATAATAAATATAAACCAGTGGACAGTTAATGAATGTACCTATACTTCATATAAGTTATAAAACCAAGTGGCAAATTACCTCGCTGCGCTTTTCCAAAATCCATATACTATAAGGATTCAATACCAAAATCGCATCTACAATTCGTTCGGGGTCATAAATCTTGTATCCATCGTTCTAAAACAAATTTAAAGCATTTTAGACTTTAAACTACAGAGCACCTACATCAAGAGCTGCATATCAGATAATAACTGTTGAATGCCTTTTCTACATGTTTTACTTCAGGCAGTCTCTCCATTCACCGCGGGTTTTACACAATGATTTCAGGGAAAAGTACAACTATGCTATGGCGGCATATTGGTCATTTAAATGTCATGTTTCCAACATAGTAGCATACACTTCGGTATTTGTCGCAATAATCTTCGTAACCTTCAATATCCTTGCGCAGAATATTTTTCTTGTAACTACTCGAGCTAGGGCTTTCTGTGGACCAAACATGAGGTATGCACTTAATTAAAAATTAACCGATACCACAGTGAACATCAAGAGCTTCTCTATCCATTAGGCGCTGTCTGCAATGAAATGAACAGTTCGTCATGTAGACTGATCCACCCATGAGAATCGGGACACGTGATGCTTCTTTCAGAGTGCAGCAAACAGCGAACATTGTTAAAAAAATTTTGTTCCCATGGAGTGGCCATGACAGCGCCACGTGAGAAAAATGGTCAGAGGGAAAACGCTGGTGGGAAACGCACTGATTATAGATGCGGATTGGATCTAGCGCTCGAAGAATAGGCATAAAGCAGTCAGCCCTTTGTTGGATGTTGGCCACATACACTTTTGATATGTGATATGACCTGTCATGGAGACTTTAATTCTGACTGATGAACCTGTGTCCTGTAATTTGACTGCATCCACAATGAAACATGAAATTGTACGATCGGGCAGTGGTGCGTCTTATCCCAAAATGCAGACCAATCCTCAAGCAGCTGACGAGATGGAAGAAACCCTACCTCGGCTGGCTGCTACAAGAGTCCAATACCTGATACTGAAACATGTTTTCAGCTAGATTTGAGTCATTCAAGAACTCCTCCTTTGTGGAAGCTGCGAAACATGCACAAAATCATACTGTACTTTTGGTCTTCAAGAAATCATAAATTAACGTCCATAACCATGTGCACAACGTAAACGAAGAAAAACACACAAGTCTGTCAAAAAAGTAAACAGTAGGATTTAATGCTTTGTTCGTTCACAAATGATGGCCACAACCCTACTTGCTTTATTTGAATTTGCTAAGCTCCGAATATCACAACTTCTAGAATCTCCAGTGATCGCAGCCGCTAACGGAAAGACATGGTTTTTTCGAGTAATGAAATTAGAACTTTGTGACCCCGCTTCTAAGGTAAAACCAAATCAATCCAAAGGAAGAACCCATTAGCTTAAGCAGTTGCGACGGTCTCATAAGTCGTTCTGGCCCATGCCTGGCCGTCACAACACCGCCCTGAACTCTGGCGTGTAACTTATATTCTGCGAGGGTATGCTATGTGTTCTTGTCGAGTAATTTAAGGACCTTTCCAACTCGCTGTCAGGTGTGGTTTATACGAAAACAACATGCATAAACAAATCATTCATCAGCTGGAAGCCAACTGGCTCACTGGTTCGGATAACCATGTACAAACTATCTGAGCCTGGAAACTGATCACCGGCTTGCAGATTCTAATATACTGGGAAGGTACTTTATATTACGAGCCAGAGAAGAGTCTCACAACACTTTAAACATTAACTAAACACGCAAAATCGTAAAGCAGTACACGGATATACACAAGGATAAACTGCTTTGGACCAATAGATAAAACTGTTTACAGTAAGCTATTTTACTGTTTGACAGGGTGTCTACGCGTCATGAAAAACAATCGCAGGACTGGCCACATCAACAACCAGGTCTGATAGCAATCACGTTGATATACATAGATAAAAGGACGATTCATTGAAAAACGATCCACAGAAAAATTGTATGCATTATGTAATTGTTGTCAGAGCACCTACTGAGCCTGCTATTCAAGTACTAATCCAGCTGAAAGGCCGCAAGAAACATCCATTTCTCCTTCTGGTCAAGAAAAGAAAATTGAAAGTCTGTAACTGTTGAAATATAGGTCCTCCTTACAGTCACACATTGGGTCCCTTCTAGCAGACGCCTTCTTTTCATGAGGCTAACGTTGGGAGCACTAATCTTCACTTCCATGTCATCAGCTATAAGTGTCCTTAAGTTTTAAAGGCAGAATCGACAGCAGCTATGTGACAAGCTTCGACTGTATTCTCCTGTTCATTTCCCATTCATTTACCAGAGCAGTACTAACCTCGAAAAGAAGAATTTTAAGTAACTCCAGGATCAGAGTCTGATGCTCTGCCGACTGAATAATTTCGGTCTGAAGCGACTAATGGTAAATTACTTAATCAAGGGAATTCGTGATAAAGACAAAGAGATTCCACGGCGGGAATCGAACTCCGTACTTACGTAGTTCGACTTCGAAGCTGACTCTTAAGTACTGTGCCTGTACACCACCATCTGATTATTCACCATCTGGCCACTCTGCTGATGCAATAGAACAAATTAATGATGTTTCAACACGATGGAACAATTCACTTTCTGAAGACCAGCAAATATAACTGGGCCATATACAAGTGGAGAAAGTAAGGGCTTCAGAAAACAATGCAAAAGGTCATAAATCAAAAAATGGATCCACAACTTCTGAAGTTCAAGACTAAGAGAATGGCCTGGCACTTTGTGTACCTTTGGCAAGACCATTATAACCAGCAAGACATTGGGGTTTCCAGATACTGTCGGTAGAGCAAAAGTAAAATTTGGCTCATGCAAAGAAACAGAAGTCATGGTTACAATGAAGTAACAAGTAAAAAACCAAGCCGTTTCCCTAATATTACATGATCCTTTATCTGACTCAGTGTGTCCTCATGGTGGGTACGCCAAGAACGGAAGTCAACGTTCCTCCAATATTCACTGTTCTCGGTTCACTATCACCACATCTCGCGCAAAATTTAACCCACTTCGAAATTCTGGACCTCCACTGGTTGCTTCTCAAGCAAGTGAGATGGGTCCATCTCCTGTTGGTGTCGTAGAAGACAGAAGACACCCATCCTAGGAACGAGATCCCGGCTGAAGGCAATGCATGTTTTTGCTCAATCGCTCTGTGCGTCACTAAAAATTGACCGTAAGTCAAAGCTGCAGATCATGGATGATAGGACTGTTGAATCGAACAGTTATTTCTTAGCCTGCATTAGGCTGCTCACCCTCGAGTAATGATGTATGAACACGGTTAAACTTAGCAAATGTCACCTTCATACTTCTATTGCTTTCCTCATCTAACGAGTTTATGTGGTACCTAATCGCCGAGGTACTAATAGCCGGTGACTTTTTCGAGATTTGTGCTATTTCGCTTCCCTCATATGATATGTACAATATGCAATCACTTTCTCATCGTAAACCTTTTCTCGCATGGCTGATTTTTCTGTTAGAAGAAAATATTTAAATATTCTGCTGAGGAACTGTCCAAATCGACTGCTAGCCTCATAGCCGACTAAAAACAGAATCTGTAAATATAATCAGCAATAATAATAACGATTTTGACTTTAATGCAAAGCAAACACAGCATGACACATGTAAATCTGTAATAACACTGCAATTTAGTCTCACTGTTCGTAATGCATACCTGTGCACGGTCAACCGATGTCAGAAAATCTGTCCTGCCAGTCAAATCGAGATCCACTGGGATGTCGGCGATGACACCAGCGTACTAAAAAGTATAAAATGAAGCAATCGTAATCATTCAAAAAAGACAAAAATTCATTACTCGGATGTCAAAGCGTAGACTGGATTCCAACAGTTCCCCTTCGTTTAAAGGCATTGACGCTGAAGGCATGATTCAAACGACCTGCTGCATCTCAAGACAATGAACGCCAGGATACATTAAGTGTAAATCGGTTACGAGAATTTGTCAGCATCTAAAACGTGAAAGCATGACGATGTTATCTGACGCAGAAAAGGAGAACATTCCCAGACTTAAAAATCTCATTTCATCGCCACTGTCGCCTCAGCAAACGATTAAACTATGCATATCGTGACAAGTCTAATAAATGGTTGCCTCCATAGTTCTGAACAGTTACCACTGAGGCGAACCTTAAAACGGTCGGACACAAAGTAACAACACCGGGAGCAGACAAAGCTCTCTACAAATCGTAAAGCAGTTCTGTCCAGAAGGGTACCGCATTCTTTCTCCTCCGTATGGCAGGAAGCACCGGCTATAAGTCCAGATCAAATTTAATTAATCCTGGATTAATCAGCCAGAACATGGAATCAGTTGTTAGTACATAAAATGCGCCGATTCATTCCTCGAATTTTCTTGATTGGCACTGGTCAACGATGTAGTCGACTGTTTCTACTAGCGCAACTTAAGCAGGTGGCACCCAGTCCTAACGTGGGTCATGCGGATCTTGTTTAAAATTGCCGTTGTTTACGGGCCAAGTGGAACCCGAGCAGAACTTTTGTCGGATCGTCGATTATATGTTTATTTGGCACAATGGAATTTCGGAAGATATTCTTCCACTCATCAACGATGTCTAAAGATGATGCAATTAAGTCGAGTGTGATTTGCCAGAACTGTTTCCGTGATTTGAGTCTTGCCCTTAGGTTAGGTACTTCTTGTGGTCCTCGTGAACAGACAAGTTTGGTTCTTCCTACATTCTGCGGTACCCTCTTACGCAGATTTTGCGTCTTCTTATGTTGGATATAGATTTGTTTCAGACTACCGGTAATCGGAGAAGCTGGACCCTGTGGAGAATTTCTGTTATGACTCTCATGGTACTGTGGTGTTGTTAAGGATGGCGTCGAAGTTTCATGTATGGCGGCTTTCTAGCCACTCTGCTGCACACTACTTCGCTGTATGGTATATAATAGTGACGGCTGCTGTTCGCAGGGTATGGACGCTAGATCCCCAGCTTGTTCCCGCCAAACT